TGAAGCAGAACTGACTGAAATGAATCTACTTGTATGTGTGTTGGCTAGTACAGGTCACCGTTCAATCCTGACCCTGCACTGCCTGGAGCATACAAGAGTGAAGTCTGAGATGATCCCAGGAAAGCTTTTTGGGGGCATCTCTTATTAGACCATTAAACTCAGACCCTGGCCACAGGGAAAAACATAGGAGGTGTGGTCTGACATTAGAGTGTATGCATGGGAACTGGGCCTCCTCAGATCTTGACGACAGTGTGGTGGACAGCATGTCCAGATGCACATGAGGGACATTTTGGCCAACTCATCTAGGCCTTTAGGGGACGTGTACTGTCTCATCAAGAGGATGGAAAGTAGAACATATTGGACGATTCTCCTGGCTAAGCTTTGCAGGGTGTTTCTGGGTCTGTGGGTGCAGTAAGGCAGCCTTTGTTTAGCAACAGGCCTTTGAAAGGTTTTCTCATTCCTGGAGCAACCACACCAACAACTTCTGAGAAGTATCATAACCACCAAATCATACCCTCATAACATTATTCCCCATATCAGGCTCTAAAAGGCATCATCAAGTGATCATTTCCCCCCTAATCCCTTGGTGTTAATGTAGGGGTTCCCCCCCACTCCATCTTCACTTGCTGACACAGGAGAAAAAAAATATCTAAAATATATGCCCCACCCACCTTGCTGGGTACCTGATCCTTACACCCTAATTTTAGGCCCACATGTACATGCATCCCTCTGAACTACGTAAACAATATTAAAAAGAAAATAAGTAATTTTTAAAGATCTTTAGTAGCTTTTATATTATAAGTCACAGACTTACTCAGTTACTTCTCTTTGTGCTTTATTACAATTTGTACTAAGTTTAGCAATCTAGTGAACATGATGGTATATCTTACATCTTTTAAACTAAAAAAAATTAAAAATTTTTATTGCAAAGTCAGATATACAGAAAGGAGAGTCAGAGAGAAAGATCTTCCTCTTGCTGATTTACTCCCTAGCCTGACACAATGACCAGAGCTGCGTTGTTCTGAAGCCAGGAGCCTGGAGCCTCTTCCAGCTCTCCCACACAGGTGTAGGGGCACAAGGCCTTGGGTTATCCTTGACTTCTTTTTTTTTTAAAGATTTATTTTTATTATTTTTTCATTGGAAAGGCGGATATACAGAGAGGAGAGACAGAGAGGAAGATCTTCCGTCCGATGATTCACTCCCCAAGTGAGCGCAACGGGCCGATACTATGAAGATCCGAAGCCAGGAGCCTCTTCCGGGTCTCCCACGCGGGTGCAGGTTCCCAAAGCTTTGGGCCGTCCTCGACTGCTTTCCCGGGCCACAGGCAGGGAGCTGGAAGGGAAGCGGAGCGGCCAGGATTAGAACCGGCGCCCATATGGGATCCCGGGCGTGCAAGGCGAGGACCTTTAACCACTTGCGCCACCGCGCCGGGCCCTATCCTTGACTTCTTTCCCAGGCCTCAAGTAGGGAGCTGGATGGGATTAGAACCAGTGCCCATATGGGATGCTGGCACATTCAAGGCTAGGACTTTAGCCACTAGGTTACCATGCCTGGCCCTTTAAACTAAAATTTTAAGATCATAATATTACAGTCCTTTTTTGCATCTACTAGTCATCAAAGAACACAAAGAATAATGCAACTTATTGTTTCTCTCACTATCACATGATCATGATAATTTAGTTTTAATTATTTTTGCTAGCTAATGTTTCATACATATGGACACTTATTCAAGATTACATAAGAACAGTAATTTTGACTCACTGAGGAATGGAGGAGTAAGGCATTTGGCTCAGTAGCTTAGTGTGTTTTTGCTCACATTTCTTTCTTTTTAAAAAGTATTTATTCGGGCCCGGCACGGTGGTGCAAGTGGTTAGGTCCTCGCCTTGCACGCCCGGGATCCCATATGGGCGCCGGTTCTAATCCCGGCAGCCCCACTTCCCTTCCAGCTCCCTGCCTGTGGCCTGGGAAAGCAGCTGAGGACGGCCCAAAGCTTTGGGACCCTGCACCCGCATGGGAGACCCGGAAGAGGCTCCTGGCTTCGGATCGGCTTCGGATCGGCATAGTATCGGCCCGTTGCGGCTCACTTGGGGAGTGAATCATCGGACGGAAGATCTTCCTCTCTGTATCTCCTCTCTGTATATCCGCCTTTCCAATAAAAAATAATAAAAAAAAAAAAAGAAAAGTATTTATTCATTTGTTTGCATGTTCGAGTTACGCAGAGAGAGGGAGAGACAGAAAGGCCGAGATACATCTTCAATCCTCTGGTTCACTTTCCAAAGAGCCTCAGCAGCCGGGACTGAGCCATGTCAAAATCAATAGTCGGGAGTTTCATCAGGGTCTTCATGTTGGTGTCTGGGGCTCAACCACTTTGGCTATCTTGTGCTGCTTTCACAGACAACATCCATCAGCTGGAAAAGAAATGCAGATCAGGTACATAAAACAGCACCTAAATCCAATTTGCTTGCTACAACAGACCAGCATGCTCCCATGTCACACAAAAGTGTCTAGGTTTGAATCTCAATCCTGAAATTATCTTGCTCCAGAATTTGCATTCTGTTACCCACCTAGGGGACCTGGGTGGGGTCTTGGGCTTCTGGCTTTAGCCTAGCCTAGCCCCAACTCTTGTGAGCATTTGGAAAGTGAAGTAGCAGATGGGAAAATTCTTTCAAATACATATGAATATTTTTAAATAAAGTATATAGATATGGTTCCAAGGATTTATAGCAAGCAAAGAAAAATTTATTATTGAAATTTTACCAAGATTGAATAAGAACATACAGACTCAGTGGTATTAGAATCCTCACCTGCTCCTTTCCTTGCTTTCCCTTCTCACTGGAATGGCAATTGCACTGCAGACAAGTACAATTAATTATACAGGGTTTGCTTTCCTGAAAGCTGCCAGTTAATGGGCTAAATCCCATGTTGTGGCTAAACAGCATTATTTTTCTTGTTACTCTCATTTAGCTGTTGCCAGGACTGTGTTCTGTGTGAGGGCAGCTGATAGGGAGGGCCAAAACTCTGCTTGAGTAATGAGGTCTCTGTATTTGACTTGAGAGCATTTGTATTCCAGTGTTGACTACATGCATTGTCCACAGTAGGGAATTTTATGGAAACAATAGATTTGTGATTAAATTTGAAGTACTTTAAGCACTTCCCTTCCAAACTGTAAAGGAAGTGAAGCAGCTGGGTTATGAACCAGTGCCTATATGGCATCCTGGCACATGCAAGGTAGACTTTGGCCACTAGGCTGCCATGGTGGGCCCTAAAATAATATATGTCTGAATTAAATGAATACAATAACCATGATTATTGCATCACCATTAAATAACTGCAGATTTGTGTCAGTAGCAAATGGGAAAAGACTAACCTCAGGTCTCAGTCCTTATCAATTTGTATTTACTATATGAACTATCTTATTCATTCTTTCTATTCAGTAAAATTAAGTGTAATAACTTCTTTCACTGACTAGATCTTCAAAATTATATAGTATAATCATTGCATATAAATTGTGACTTGAATCCAGAGAAGTGTTATTTAAGGCCAACTAACAATAAATGAGCACGGTCTTCCCACTTTAGTTTTTAAAAGATCTATGTATTTATTTGAAAATCAAGCTATAGAACAAGAGGGAGAGACAAAGAGATTTTTCACCTGCTGGTTCACTTTCCAAATTGTTGATATGAGAGCCATTCTAAAGGCAGGACCCTGGAACTCCAGCCAGGTCTCTCATGTGGGTATCAGGGACACAAGCACTTGGACTATCTCATTGGCATCAAAAGTGGGGCAGATGGGACTCAAATCAGTGCTCTTATGTGATGCTGGCATCTTGGGCAGTGGTCTGACCTGGTGTCCAGCATGAGCAGCTCAGGCATGGGAGTAACAGTTCCTGGAAAGGACATGGAGTCACTTCTCCGCATAGCCAGCTAGTTATCTGCTCCATGGTAGCTCATTTCTTGTTTCTGAAATGTGGCTGTGAGACCAACACGTGCAGTGTCTACTTACTTTTGTGATCCAAGCTGGAGGTATCTAGGATGGGAAGCCCAAGATGGCAGTCTCCTGATTTACAGAATAAGCTCACTGAGGACAAGCAGAAAGATATCAGAATATATAGGAATTTGAATAAGCACTACAGTAAATATTAAAAAGAAATTAAAAAGCAGAGGTATGTTGTCAACTCTGCATCAGTAACTGAATTGCTTCCACTCTCAGGACCACATCAGATGCTGGTCACAGGAGCCTGGTCCGTCCTAGTACCTGGGAGCAGTTAAGACAGCAGGAACTCTGTGAAACACTTACGCTAACCTCCCTGTTTATTTTGTGGCAGACATCATGAAACAGGTGAAAAAGTTCTAGTTCTGCTCTAAGTAGTAACAGACATTTTGAAGCTTTGCAGATGGTCAGGTGTACAGATAATTGCCAGGACTCTATAGTTAAGTACCAAACAGAAGTATTTTTCAATTGCACAGTGATGCTAGAATTTATTTGTTCAATGATCCACTATTTTAACTCAGTGTGTACATTAGAATAGTTTTTCCATGATGGGCTACAAAATTATTTTCAGTGATGAGCTAAAGCATCTTTTTAAAGGTTTTGAAGTTATCAAAGCAATATAACTTTCTTGTTTAACTGCTTCAGGATTAAATAGAGTCGCTGTGATTGTTTAATGCTTGTGTAATAAGCATGGATGTGAGCTCTATGATTGCAGTATAATTATCATAACTCTACAAGAAAATAAAGCAGGGGATAATTATCCAAAGCCCCGCCCACACTTGAATTTCTCCATTCACAGCAAGATTCTGTCCCACTGTGAATTATTAAAGAATGAGGATTCCCAGTGCAGTCACACGGTTAGACACCGGCTGAGAAGCAACGCGTCTGTTTTCCAGGCAGCAGGGCGGACCACCCTTGACACCCAGGAATCGTGCTCCCGGTCCCTAACAAAGGGGCGCTCAGGCTTGTGGGAGCTGTAGTCGCCCGCGCCCATGACTTCACCGGTGCAGGGCCGTGGGAACTCGTCCAGATCGCGTCTGCGCATGTGCCGCCCCGCCCCCTCGCGCCATCTTCCTCCGGGAAATTCCAGATGCTGTGCTGTGCCCACGCTGTTGTGCAGGCTGCGGAGTCGGACTCTGCGTTCTCGAACGCTGGTGAGGATGAACAGGGTGTCAGAAGGCCTTGGGGGCCCGTGGGGAGGGATGGCTGGCGCCTGACGTGCGAGCAGAAGCGCCGGGCGCTTCTCTGGCGGGCGGAGTCCGACTTGGCAGCGCTGAAATCTGGGATGAGTCTTCGCAGGTGTTAGAACCAGCGTTCCCCGGTCTCAGGCTGTGCTGTGCGCGTCTGCTCGTGCGGGAGAAAGCGGGACTGCCTGTCTTCGTGGAAGCCGATTCCAGAAGCTCGCGCCCGTGGCTGTGTGCGGTGAGCGAGCGGCGGGGCGGGGGTGCAGTGTGCCCTAGCCCTACCTCGGTCCTGCTTGGGGCACGCAGTTTCTGTCCTTGTCAATGCATCATCGGGGTGGTCCTGAGTGAGGTGGCCGCGTGGACGGCCCTGAGGAACACCTGGACACTGCCCGAGAAGTAATTTTGCAGGATGTGCAAGTTGCTTGTGTGGGGCTCGGTCGTGTCTTCGGGTCGTGTCCCTCCTGTCTTTCCAGCAACAGCGGCTTGCGTGTCTGCAGTTGGTGAGGTCAGTGGTGCTTATCTTTCCTTTAGAATCAAGTAGTTCTTAGGTTGTTTAAACAGTGGGACTTCTTGGATAGGAATCCACTGAAAAGAATACTTCTTTGTCCTGAGCCCTCCCTGCAGGACTCGGTTGTCTCTCTCTCTCATACATACACACACACACACACACACACACACACACACACACACACACACTTTGTATGGCCTGTTAACCAGAGTAGACAAGCTTTCAGATACTACATCATGTGTGAACTGGCAAATACTGGGTGATACTGGAATCTTCGTCTGAACTGGTGAACAGGAATCTAGCGAACTACTGGAGGAGCCAGGACGGTGTGACCTGGATTGAGAAATAGCCTGTAATATCTGAGGATCTGTCTGCATTGCTTCCGTTCTCTGATTACTTCATTTTAATCTGGCTTTTAGACTCGGACCTGTCTCGGATGTCACCACATTTGCTACATTTGCTAGCCAGCGATGCGGTGATGTTCCCTCAGTTCTGACAATTTTTGGTAGTTCAGAACGACTTTGCCAGGATTTTTTTTACTGCTTTTGCAAATTGTTTTTGGTAAGAAAAGTAGATTTTTCAGGGGTACAGGATTTGTAGGGAGGGAGAGGCAGAAAGAAAGATCTTCTGTCTGCTGATTCACTCACCAAATGGCTGCAACGGCTGGGGCTGAGCCAAGTCAAAGCTAGGAGACTGGAACTCCATCCGGGCATCCTGCAGAGGTGGCAAGGGCCCAAGTACTTGAGCTGTCTTCTGCTTTTCCTGGGCGCGTTAACAGGGAGTTGGCTCAGAAGTGGAGTATCTGGGATTGCATCCAGGCCCTTCTGCGATGTCTGCTTTGCAGGGACACCCCACCAGCTCTGTCTCACCAGCCCTTTCTTTGGCTTTCTGACTGCCATTTACAGTTTGCTCAAAATTAATTAAAAATGCATGTTTACTTGTGAGGTAAACTTCAGGAAAAGGGTAAACTTCAGGAAAAGGAGTCAGTTTATGTTTGGCTAGCATTCTCACCCCGCCTCCCCCTGGCAGAACTTAGTGTGGAATTGTATAACCAACGGTTTATAATACATTTTTTTTCCCTCACTTAATGTCTGGGAAAATTATTCTCACTTGTATGATTTTCTGTTACTGAAAGTCACAACTGTTACAGAAAATTAATGAGCTAACCTTCCTGTATTTTCAGTGGGCAGATTAGAGTGAATCACGCCTTTGCGGTAAATTCACTTATTAAAATATCAGTAACAAACAATACAGTAATTACATGTAAGTAAACATTTTTAAGCACAGTCTTGTGATCTCCCAGTTGTTTTTTTGTTCGATTCAAATGACATTTGTTAGTGCCAGCAACTTTGTCAAACATTCAACTGGTTGGCGTTTCACATTTGTGAAACTTCTAGGTGCGGGTTTGAAGTTCTGTTCATTGTATTTGGCATGTAAGTCAATCAAACTCTTCCCCCCCCCCTTACCAATGTGTATCAGCATTTGGTATACAACAGATCAGCAAAAAATTTTTACTGAGTTAAACAACCATTGTATTTGTAATTCTGATTCAGTGTTTTAGAATGAGCTCTCCTGTGTAGGTGGTGCTTGAGATCACAATGAGGGCTTAGTCTTCTGGTGCCCTGTTTGAGGCTGGTTTATTGGAGATGGCTGCACTTACAAGTTTGGTGGTTTGTGCTGGCATTTGGGTAGGCTCTGTTTCTCCAACAGGCAAGCCTCAGGCTTTATCATGAAATAACAATATCTCAAATAGACAAATACTATCGAAACTGTGTCACTTTTACTAATGTCCTCCAGGTGCAGTCACAAAGCCAAACTGGAGAGGATCTCAACAAAGGTGTATGAACCAGAAAGTGTGTCATTTGAAACAATTGCTAGAAAAGTGTATTACAGTATACACTGTGTCCATTTTTCCTTTGTAATTTTTGGGCAGACAATGTTGAATTTTAATATGGATACTTTATATGAGATTTCACTTTTATGAAAGCAATAGCATGTTTTAATGGAACCAGTAAGTTTGGGTCTTTTGTGATATATCTGTATTAATACGAAAAGAGTTAATACTGCCCTACAGCACTCTATAATGTAAATTTCAGTGGCAATGTAATGTGTTTTTTGGTGTAGTATAATTTATTTCAACAGCCATCTTTAAATTGTCAAGTTATTTCTTTGTAATGTTAATTTTCACAAACTCAGTAGAATTTTTTTTAATTAATCTAATGATATCTTACTACCTCTACCAGCTAGTAAAATTCTGCGTTCTTTTGGTGAAATCTTTCCTGCCTCTTCCTTGGGTGTATGATACCATTTCCCCCCAGGAGGCTTTTCGAGTATTCTTTTGCTAGCTAATGTGTGCATTATCCTCTATTAGTTTATGTCTTGATCTTGTTTTGCACAGTAGAACATTGGAACAAACTAGGCTATTTTTTATCATAGCTTTCTCCACCTATTTTCTCTTTTAGGTTTAATTCTAGAGTCTGCTGCCTGTTTCCAAAGTCAAAGAAGATGAACATGTCTCCAGTAAGTTGTGTATTTATTTCTTCTTCAATTTGTTTTACCTTGTACTTTAGGGACATGATTAGAGTCATGTAATTAAAATGGAAAAGCAAAACATAGGTATCAGAGAATGTGTATATAAGAAATTTTTCATGGTCATAACTCTTAAAACCATCTAAGCTGAGTGCAGATTGGTTTCTGGTCTTTTCTAATACCATAACAAGGTATTTGTTGCATGAGTTTTTAAAAAGATTTTTTTAAGTATATTTAAAAGGTGAGGAGATCATAGGTCCACAAAGGGGCATGTTCAGGGGTAAGGAGGAGGGGAGGGGAACAGCGGAAGAGGGGGAAGTGTTTTTGCCTTCCATTGTGTGTCCAAAGGATGAAAGCTCACCTTGTCACATTGCCATACCATGTTGGAAAGGGGAATGAGTTCATGATACTGCCCAGGTCCCCAGTGAGGGAAAGTACACATTGGTGTGAAGTCACTGACTGATAGGCAGATGGGATTTACCAATAGCAGGGAGAGTGTGGCTACTAGCTTGTGACACTGTTACCTAGCTATCCCTTTTCATATCCACTAAAGGATTTTTTGACTCTTATTTTAAGGGTTGCTGAAGGATGTAGATTTATTGTATCCTACTCTGTAGTTACTTGCTGATTAGGGACACAGGCTTGTCCATCCTGGTTCTGGAACTTTGTCTCATCTAATCTATTCCTCTTATGAGCTGGAGCATTTCCATTCATTGCCAATGGCTATTTCCCCCACATCCTCATCTTTATTCTGAGATTCTGTTGGCTTATTTGCACAGGAGTCAGTAATGTAGGTCATCTAGTCATACAGTGTATACACTGAGGCAGGACCACATATTCATGGGTTCTGGTTCCTCAGGTCAGAGACTGATGCCAAAAGCCATTGTGGAGGCCTCCTCAGCAGCAGCTGTAGTGGCTTGAGCTCACCAACCCCTGCCTGGGCTTCCGCCAGCTCTGGTGCCCAAGAGAGCTGGCAGATACAGCAGCCTGACCTGGAGGCACCACAGGTTTCAAAATTCCTTTTTATTTTATTGCTTAAGTCTCATTTTCTGTTTTAGAGTTTTGGCTGAATTATTACACAGAAATAATATATAAAGTAGAATCAGGAAAATTATGACCTACATACTGCATTTAGTCTACTTCTGTATTTGGGTGACCCAAAAGTTTATTAGATATAGCTTACTTATTTATACATTCCTATGAAATTATTACTGGGATGATTGTTTACTTATTTGTTCACAAAGCAAGGCTTTATATAATTTTTATTTTTCATTTTTTTGACGTAATTTAACCATTTTTCTTCTTTTGAGTTTGGATTATTGGAGAGTGAAGAATGAACTGTAATCTTTTAATCCTTTTTGCATTAGGAGTGCTGATTCTTTCCATATTTTTCATATAGTTACTAAACAACATTTTTTTAAAAATTAATCTGTGAGTCCATTACACAGACTGTGGTACTATCTATGAGGGTAATCCTTCATTGTCTTGCATTGTGTGGGTGTCTCAATTTACCAGGGGCAGCAAACCACGTAATGTTTTGGTAGCTAATAATCCCAGCCTCTGTGGAGCTTCCATTTTTTTTAAAAATATATTTCTCAATTTGAAAGGCAGAGTTTATAGAGAGAAGGAGAGGGAAAGGTCTTCAATCCACTAGTTTGCTTCCCACATGGCTACAATGTCTGGAGCTGATCCGACCCAAAGCCAGGAGCCAGGAGCTTCCCTTTCTTCTCCCATGTGGCTATAGGAAACCAAGAACTTGGACCATCTTCCTCTGTCTTCCCAGGCTAAAAGCAGGGAGAAAAATCAGAAATGGAGCAGCCAGGACACAAATTGGCACCCATATAGGATGCTGGTACCACGGTACTACTGCCATAGGACTACTGTGCCATGATGCCCGCCCCAGGCTTACACTTTTAATGTGTGCACCAAATATCTTTTTCATCTGAGATCAGTGAAATGATGTTTATTGAAAAATTGTTTGTCTAGGCCTGGCACAGTGTCCTAGCAGCTGAAGTCCTAATCTTGCAAGGATGGGATCCCATATGGGCACAGGTTCTAATCCTGGAAGCCCTGTTTCTTATCCAGCTCCCTGCTTGTGGCCTGGGAAAGCAGTCAAGGACAGCCCAAAGCCTTGGGACCCTGCACCTGTGTGGGAGACCTAGAGGAAGTACCTGACTTCGGATCAGCTCAGTTGCAGTCTCTTGGGGAGTGACTCATTGGATGAAAGATTTTCCTCTTTGTCTCTCCTTTTCTCTGTATATCTAACTTTTCAACAAAAGTAAAAGCTTAAAAAAAAGAGAAAGTGAAATATTGTTGGTCTGTGTGCTTATGGGAACCAGAGGAAAAGTGTGATCTCATAGTGACACAAATCACTTTGTCTTTTCCTTGACCAACACATTGTGATCTTGCCTGAGTTTTTGAATAGGAGTGGAAGTAAATGGTCTTCTCAGAAAAGAAAGTACTGAAAGCAAGGGAACTGAGGTCACACTTGCTAGAATTCCTTTCCTCTCACATGTATCTTCATATGATACCTACACACTTTATATTCAGCATGGGGAAACTCCATGAAGACTGGAACCTGATCACGTACTGCTGTGGCTTCTGATGGACCTAAAAAGACAAGCAATTGGATTCCTCTAAACCTGTTGTATAATGATAGAGCATGCATAAGAGAATCACATGCATTCCTTTGTGAACAGCAAAAAAACTAGGGCATGAGGAGGCCACCAAATGTGTTGAATCAGGACCACCTGGCTGCCCTGAAATTCTGGAGGCAAATACTGTGGTTCTGAAAATGCTTTGAGAGTTTTCCCAATCTCCATAACCTCAGTGTCTGGTATCTGCCCATTTTCTTTTATGCCTGCACAATGGCTTTTTTCATGAGCGCAGCATTTTCCAGTAGTAGTTTCAGGCACGATGAGCAATGAGATACACCACTGTTAGTCATTTTTCAATCTGTTTTTGTAAAGTCTGTAAGGTATTTTAATTTTATATTAATATAAAATACATTTTATATTACGTCTGTAAGGTACTAGACTTAGCAGTGTTTATATTATAGTTACTGTTATTGAAAGCTATAATCATTAAGCATATATGAAGAGATCTTCAAAATATTCATTTAATATAAGGAAAAAACTGGATTTCATTATTTAATTTTTCTCATTCACTGACTTATTGAAACATATTTTCTCAGTGAATACCCACATAAAATTAAAAACTAGGAATAAAATGTGTGCTGTACTTAGCTGATATTTTTCTAGACGAAAAATATACATTGAAAATGAACCTGAAGCTTTGTGCTTCCAGATAACCAGCATGCCTTTCAGTTGAGATTTACTGCATATATCCTTGCAGGAGGAAAAGGAGAAACATGCAAAAGCAGGCAGCTGGTTCAAAGTCCAAATTCTTATTTTATAGATGAGAATGTCCAGGTTGCTACAAGATTGCCATGGTTTCCAGCCATGGTCAGACAGTGGTTCTTTGTGTTAGTTGTTCAGCAGTGTTGTGCCAATCTTCAGGCAAAAAGGCCAGACGAACAAAATGGCATTCCTTTAGAAGAAACTAACACTGTTTATTCACACAGCTTTCTGATTGTTCTTTCTCACAGAATGCTGTATCATGTGTTCGGTAACTCTGTTTTTTTTTTAAAGAAGATTCCTTTATTTTGGAAGTCTGAATTATTGAAAGAGAGGTCAGGGGCCGAGGGCTTCCCCCAGATCTTGCAGATGGGTGCTATGGCCCTTATAGTTGTGCTGTCTTATGTTGCTTTTCTAGATCAGTAACAAGGAGCTGGATTGAAAGCAGGTGGGACACAAGCTGGCACCCATATGGGATGCTGATGTAGTATGCAGTGACTTCACCCACTGTGCCACAGAATCAGCTCCAGTTCAGTAATTCTAGTAACTCTTGCAAAATAATTGTTTAATTTTGTAAGTCAAGCAATAATAATCTTGGTATTAGGTTTTCAGTAGTTGTGGTTATGGGCAAAAAGTAGACATGTAAAGTAATAAGAAGCTTTAGTCATTAATTAAAACCATGTTCGTGATAGGGCACATTTGCTTTGAAAAATTGTATTGGGATTGGCTTTGTGGTGCTGTGGGTGAAGTTGTTTCGTCATGAGGGCATCTCATGAGTGCTGGTTCAGGCCCTAGTTGTTCTGCCTCTTATCTTTTTTTTTTATGTTTTTATTATATTTTGACAATCTTTACATAGTTAATTAGGGTAAAAAAGGTTCAAGGGCTACAGGGAAGTGGGTAAGACCATCATTTCCATACCACTTCCTTCATGTATCTGAGGTAAAGGGGGATATAGAGCGGGAAGCCTCACCCAGTTTCCCACCCGCCCTAAGTCCCCGATGTGAGGCATGCTCTGAGATACTTGATCAAGTGGTTTCAATAGTTCACCATTCATGGATCACTACCAGTCTCGGCACTCCAAGCACGATGTGGTCGACCCTTCTAGGGTCTCCATTTGCCCAGTATTTTGCTGCCAACAGATAGCTGAGGTTGTTGATTGACTTGTTCTGTCTTTTCTTGGTTAGGACTCTGAGTCTGGTGTCTCGACTGGGGAGATCCTCAAAGAAATTTTGAGGTATTCCCAGTCCAGATTCCTGCGTGTTCTAGCAAGCATAGGACCCGGCACAGTCCATCGCCCTGATCAGCTGGTGGTTGCAGTTGCTGGGTCGGTTCTGTCTCCATTCATGTCCTCTGCTAGAACCAATGGGTGTTACAGTCCGGCCTGGTTCTGCCCAGGACACACTCGGCCCTCACACAAACCAGTAGGAGCTGCAGCCCAGTCAGGGCGGCCCACAGTAACCCCAACCGGGCCCACCCCCTACCCTGGCTTGCCAGTATGTATGGCAGACTAGTCCGGTCTGTCCCACATTCTCTTCTGCTCACATACTTGTCAATGGGTATTGTGACTTACTTCCATCCAACCATCTCATCCAACCAGCCCTCATGGATGTTGTTGGGTGTCTACCCCAGCCCCCG